GGCTGCTCTCTGACAACTGGTCTCTGCTTATTTACAATGTCAAACTAAATGTCTCCCTAAGCCCCGCCTGCGCTCTGCTTGTACAGGCTGATGGCAATGTGATGCAGGCAGCTATGTGGGCCCCTTATTGGCTGAACCAAGTGCCAGAATTGATGCCGCATGTTGCATCCACATGATTTAAAGTACAAAAGCATACTAAGCAGACTCCCTGTCTCATACCTGTGCACGGTCTTACATGCACACCCACACACATGCACATTTTGTCCTTGCATTCTCAGTTATCCTTGCTCACAGTCACAGGTACACAATGAAAACATCTAACCTCCAGCCAGCCTACCTCTAACAATGAGATCACATCACTCTTAATATTATTCTAACAGAGGAACAAATATGTCTACATGCATGGTCATGCATTATTTATTCAGAATATGAATTAGCTAGATGAACTCCATTCAACAAATTTTTTGAGGCAACTTAATGCAACCACTATAAATCCCATGACATCCTACACAGTGACACAAACTATTCTGGGCAAAACAAATCAATGGAGAGCCTTTGTACAAAATGGAACAATCAGCTGACTAGATAGCAGTTGTGGAAGAAGGCAGAGAGAGAGAAAAAAAAAGAAAGAGTTCATTTGACTCTCATCCTATTTGTGGATAAACAAGACTTAAGAGATATGGGTGAAAACCCATAAACAAAGACAATGTTGTCTTGACCCCAAAAACTGTGCTCACAGCAACTTCCACAATGGAAACGTCATCAAAAAAAAACATGTCAGCAATGTCACACAATGTCCTTCTTGTTAAGTCTCCATTGCTTAAATGTGCATACTTTCGACACAAAAACCTTTAGTGTGCAACTCAATAGAGTGATTTTAGTACTCATGTGCACAACTCATGATGTTCAATGCACCACCTACGATGTGAATGCTTCTACTTCTAATGGGCAAACCGGTTAAAAGCTTAGAGAGTAAACTGCTGAGATGCGACCAAGTGGCGGTGCAGCCCAAAGGTTAAGCTTTAATAAAAAATAAAAAACATACAGACTGTAGAGAGGAACACATCCAGCTACAAAAGTCTGGAAAGATAATAAACTGCCCTATCAATGAAAAACCGGGGTGGGGGTGGAGTGGGGACCGGAAGGATGGAGAAGGACAGAGAGGAGAGTTGCTACAGGATGGGAGGGGTAGAACAAGTGGAGGGAGGGCGAGAGCACAAGATAGACTCAAGAGAAACAAAGCTAAATGTTCCCTTTACTATTTTTGTGAGGAGCATGGGGACTAGAGCAGGTACTACAGACATCCAGTTAATGATTAGAGCAGAGCTGCACAAAGACTAATCTCTTCACTGCTGTTGCCATGCTCGAGCAGTTCTCTGTAGCAGCATTCAGCCTACCCAAAATGCCTCAGTAATGACACCTGGCAAGGTCACCGCAGAAATGAGACCTTCCCATGACCTGTACTGCCCATAGCAGGAACATGTTTGCTTTCTCTGACGCTGTTTAGAGATAAACATGCACCAACTAGACGTTGGGTTTCATAAACACAGCAGCTACCCTGAGGGTAGCCATGCCAAGCCATGCATTCACCTGCAAACATGGAAAAACACATGAGCACCTGCAAAACGACATGGTAAGCTGGGTGACTTGCACACAGCTTACTTAAGCTGTCTAAGGTGTTCTAATATTCCAGGCTTTTTAAATATGATCTCAACTGCTCAATTAAACCTACACACAAATGATGACGTAATGCATACCTCCTCTAGAGAGATAAAGTATACTAAGCTGCACACCGTTTTTGCCCCGTTGATAAGAGCTCTCTCTCCTATTCTTTATTAAGTTCTTATTTTCGTGGGAACACAAAGAGACACTGTATTGTTTTTTGCACACAGGTCGTAGTGAGAATGGGGTGAATATCTGTTAGGTTTAAAGCATAACTAAACTAAATATTAACTTGGTGCAGCTTCATGTTGTGTGACTTTGTTTGGTTAGTATGGTTGAAAATACATTTGTATTCATTAATTGAACACTGTGTGAAGATTTTTCCCCCCCAAGTACTAAAGAGTGGAAACAAAGGCATGATAGTCATCACAGGGAATTCACACGAAGACTAGAGCAGCTTTGCTCTTTAACACCCCAGCATTTAGCACGGAGTTTGACTTCAAAAAGTCGCTACATTATAAGGTGTTTGGGTTTAACACAGAGGCTAACAGGAGCCACTGAATTCAATGCTATATTCAACGCTAGCATACGGAAGCCGGTATATATTCGTCACACAAAGGATGCTAAATAAACTACAAAATACTGAGATGCACTGTAGTGCTGTCGTATCCATCCAAATGCTTAACGGAGTAGGCGTAGAAAGACACATGCAGAATACTAGCTAATAGGATGGTCACTGCCGACGGTGACTTTATGCTAACGTTAGTGGAGTTAATGTTAGCTTGCTGGGGATGCAGACTGAGGAGCGCTGTACAGCTCAGCGTGTGTAATTTTAATTACCAGCTGACAGCGAGCCCTGCCAACATATGAAAGTTTGCAAAGGTTTGCAATGCTAGGAAGAAACAGTCTAACCAATAAAGACAACGTTTGGATCTGTCCTTCAGACCAATCAAACCTCGGACTAGATTCCACCAATCAAGGTTTTTAGGGCTAAGTTCGTTCTGCAACTGGCGCCATTCGGGGTCAGGCGCAAATAGCCAGTGTGTCTGACAATTGCTCAGATATGAGCCAAAATGGTGGACACAAAACATCAGTTTCCTGAGCGTCCGTGATCCTTTCAGCGGGCCACCAATAAGCGCCTCAGAGAGCGGGGAGGGAAATGGCGCCTATGTTCATCTTCCAAAACAATCGTCTATTGGTCAAGAACAGCAAATGAAAAGAAGCCAAGTAATTACCGCTACCTCCGGCCAACACGGACAACTTTCATGTAAACACTCCACATATAAATGAATTTTAATTTCTTACTCACTTTCTTTAACGGGTTCGAAGTGAAGTCCAGCTCAGCGTATTATTTATTTTATTTAGCCTGCGAGGGGAAACAAGATGGCTGCTATTCGAACCGGAAAGAGTCCAACGCGATGACGTAGAGGTTACGTTCCCTGAGAAACAGCGTCAGTTTCTTTTTTTTAATTATTTGATTCACTAAACAGTTAATTGCTCAGGTAGTCTATATATCTTCAAGTCCTCATTTATAGAAAAATTAGCAAAGTGACTTGGAAAAAAAAAAAAAAACCATTTTATATATACATACACAGATACACAAAATGAGCATTGGAATGGGGGAAAAGGTGATTTCACTGACTTTGAATGAGGCATGGCTGCTGGTCTGAGTATTTCAGAAACTGCTGATCAACTGAGATCTTCACAGTCAACTAAAAAAAAATATATCAAATCAAATCACTTTTATTGTCACATCACATGTGCAGGTACACTAGTACAGTACATGTGAGTGAAATTCTTGTGTGCGAGCTTCGTCCATATATCCATATATCCAGTGAGTTCTCTGAGAGAAAATGCCTTGTTTATGTCAATTGTCAGAGAACAGGCTGTTTCAAGCTTAGAGGAAGGCATCAGTCACTCAAATAACCACTCATTAAACACAATTTATGCAGCAGCGTATTTCTTAATGCACAATATGTCCAACCTTGAAGTAGATGAGCTTTAGCTGCAGAAGAACAGGAAACTGAGGCTACAATTTGCCCAGGCTAAGCAAAATTGGGCAATAGAAGATTGTAGAGCAGTCAGTGTTTTCCTCAGTCTCACTTTCTGCTGCAAAATTCAGATGGTAGGTTCAGAATTTGGCATAAATATGAAAGCCCTTCCCTTTATAACCAGTGTTCCCATCTTCTAAAGGCTGCAGCCAGCATGATAAAGCACCACAAAGCTCAAATGATCGCAAATTAATTCAGTTAATTCAAAATAAATTCACTGAAAATATGAAATACAATGATGGCAATAACAGTATTACTTCTCTGGCTGTTGGTCAGTAAGAAATTTGAAAAAATGAAATGATTACAACTGCAGTAGACAAGTGTTTTAATTCTTACACCAGATGTCAACATTTGATCAACCAAGGTCTTTGCAAATATCCAACACAAACAACAACAAAAAAAATAGAAAGAAAGAAAAATGAAGGGAAGAAATTTAAACCCAAATCACATTTTAAAATCTGAACTATACCTTAAAACACTGCATTACAATAAATGATTATTAAGGAGATTGCAGTGATGACATTTATTTCCTTGCCACAAGTTCCAGGAGGGCAGAGGTGATTTTGTCCAGGTTGTTAGAGTACCGAGGTCCTCTGGGAATCCTGGATTCTTGATCCATGTGGAGGGGAGGTGCAGAAGAGTGAGAGTCGAAAAACTCTCCAACAGGAGGCTGGTAGTCACGAGAGGGCAGGGATTCTGGAAACCGTTCAGGATAAAAGGGCGGCTCATCTAAGCGGTTTGTATGAGGAGTTCCAGATTCCTCTGACAAAAAAAAAGAGGAATGAAATTGAATTACAGGAAAGAAAGTGGAATCAGCCACACCTCCTCTGACACAGGGAAGCTGAATATACAACTTATTGTTTATTATCTTATTTAACGATGCAATCAAATTCATTCATTACATAAAATCAAAAGGTCAACTTGGACACCTTTGCAAACTATGCCTCTTTATACATAAATTCAACTAAACTATCCTAAAAGGATACCACAACAACACTCAAAATACATTCAAAGAAGAAAATCCCATCAAATTTCATCAAAACCTCAAAGTTCATAAGTTTATTTTATTAATATGTCAATAAATTGGCATTTGATCTACACAACAACACATACAGCACAATTCCAGACAAAAGGCATGATTATACCCCTCCCTCTCCTGTTTATCACACCTGAACCACGCCTGTTGTTAATGTGATGAACTATACCTGCTACAGACACATGTTCATGTGGAACTGACTTGAAAGCACAGAGCTGGCAACATCACAGCCTGCAACTGTGCAGATAAATTTGTTTTTAACTGATGAGATATAGAAAGGATTTTGAAATGAAAAAAGCAGCCAAATGATGATTTAAGCCACGGAAGAGGATCTTTCAGCAGGACAATAATTCACAGCCTACCAGCTGCCTGCTGAAAGAATATATTCTAATAGAGGGGCCCTCCCAGAGCCCTGACCCAAATCCCACACATCACCTGAGGGATACCATGGAGAAAATTACGTCAGCTGGTCGAAGCTCTGGTGTGGATGAACTGAAAGCCTTGCTGACTGGAACATTAGGGAAAACTTATAGAAACTGATCTACCCTACCTTTCTGGTATAAGCAGCTCTACTAATGGATGAAAGAGCCTTTAAAGAAGCAATTATTGAGTGGCCATCTACTGTCTGCCTTTATTTTGAGCTGTATATTGATTTAAAACCTACCATACTTATTTTTGCCTAAAATTTGCTCGTGCTATTTTTATTGGTCTAACTTTTATATAAGACTATTGGGCTTAAATAAACTGCACTGTGCACATACCTTCAAAGCGGCCTCTTTTTGAGTATCTGGAATCTTCGTGTGCAGGGGGGGGATAAACATTGTGCCGCTCCTCTGGAAGATGCTCACGCTGCTTCCAGTCTCTGAAGTCGAGGTCTTCTGGCTGTCTGTGATGCGAATCATCTCTCATGGTCCTCTCGAACGGCGGCTGTCGAGGGTCCAGCTCCATGTTGCTGTAGTTTCTTGGGATCCCTTCTCGACCGTGGCTGTTCTGCTACCATGACAAAAACATATGTTTTGTTAATATAAGCAAAGTCTTTGTGTTCTTCTACTAATATTATATTAAAAAGACAGGCGGTGTGCAGAATGACACATACCACAGCTTTCTCCATCTTTTTTGTTTTGAATTCTTTAAGCAGGTTGCAAAGTTTACTTTTCAAGAAGTCAGCCTCTTCAGCATTCTCAATTTCAATGTTACTCTAAGAAAATGCGAAAGGGAAAAAAACAACACACTGAGAACTCTTTGAGTGAATAGTTGCATAACAAAAACATGGCACCCAAACATGTGCAAGTCGCCAATAAAGATTAATTATCTTACTAGCATATCAAAGACGCCCTCCGACTCAGAGCCTCCTCTTTGGTTCATTTCAGGATGATGTGGACCCTAAAAAAGCAAAAGGTCTTGCTCAAATAAAGATTTGTTTTACTGGATATTACTCTATTGTGATGTCAAAATAAACTACCTGTGGTTCTCTGTAGAGGTCTGAAAATTGTCCTCCACTCATTGGTGCACTACCTGGCCTTGGGTCACCTCCAAACTTTGGAATTGGAGATCCATAATTATCCCCATACCTTAAAGCAGCAATCAAACATGGGTTTTTTTTGTTGTTGTTTTTTTTTTTAAAAGAAGCCCACAACACTTACAAAAAAACAACTACAATTTTTACACTTACATTTCCCTTGTCCCTTCTACTTCCTCTGGAGTAGCATCAGAGAAGCGGCTCTTTCTTTTCCTTTTACCGTGAACATCATCTTCGGCGCCTCCTTTCAGGAACCGCCTGAATGGCTCTGGGATGTTAGAAATGGTTCTGCCAACATCCATGTGTCTTTGTGAGGCTGGGCCTCCTGCTCTCCTATCAACTGCCTCATCCTGATGTACCTCTCTCATCTCATGACGATAATCTTGAATTATATTGAACAAATTGTCACGTGATCGGTCCCCCTCCATAGATGCAGAGAAGTTCCTCCTCCTGGCTTCTGGTTCACTTGATCCCTGTCTACCTGCTTTGTTCATACCGTCGTGCCTATCAGGTTCCCTCTCCAGGGACCACCGCAGTTTATCAACTTCAGGGTACATGGCCTGGGAGGGTGAATACTCAGAATGACCGTTCCCACCCCTGACATCCTCAGAGTGGAAATCCTGAACAGACTCTCTTTCTGGATAGGCTTTTCTATAAGGAGGCGCCCCCTCAGGGTAATAGTCAGACTGAGCGAGGCCACGAGGCAACTCCTCCCTAAAATCATACTTGGGAGCATCACCTCGCTCAGCTGCCAAACATCTTTGTGAATCGCCACCATATCCCTCTTCATACTGATGACGATAATCAGAGTCCATGTAGCCTTCTCTGTACGCATGGCCTTCCCTGAAATCCGACCTTCGCGGTTCATCTCTGGTGCGCTCATTGCTAAGCCTGTTCTCCCGCTGGCTGCGCCTGTCTACGTTCATGTTAGGTTCATTCGGAGGAAATGCAGATGCGTTTGGGTAACTTGAGGCATGCTTTCTTCTGTGATAGTCCTTGAGTTCGGGTAGGAGTGGTGGCAAATCTTGGGGGTTCGTCTGCTCCCTGTTTTGCCTCGGCCTTTGGGAAGCTAATAATAAAGTCATAATTAGAGAAAAATACAACCAAACGTTTTCCCAATGTGTCTGTAACCTTTCCTTGTATTTTAAAATTACTTTTTAACCATGTTTAATATCAATCAAGGTACCTTTTGAGCTGTTTGATCTACTCTCGTTCCCCTTTTTGAACAATGACTGGGGAAAAAACCCAAGAATAATAAACATTTACTGTATGTAACAAAATGTATAGAATTTTAGAAGCACAAAAAATATGGTGTGTAATCTGGGTAATTCATCTGGCATACCTTTGGAGTCCCTCTCCCATCCTGTCTCTCTATTATTTCTGCTTTGGCGCGCATAATCTTCCCCCCGAGGGTTTGTACAGAGGGTCTGTCCCAGGTCACCAAGTCAGGCCGCTTCAATTCCTACATAGACAGAAAGGGAATGTGATCTCTCTTTGCTTTAACATCTTATTATAAAGAAAAACAGAATAACAAAGAAGTATTTAAGTAATGCTCTGAATGCTTTACCACATATTTCTGCCTGTGTTTGCGTCCAATCACATGACAGACCATTTCTGCAAGGACAGCTGACTGATTACAGAGCTTACATAAGTATTTGGGGCCTATTTGTCGGTCACTAGGAGGCCCCTCTTCCAAAAAGTTCAAACCTGGAAATTAAGAACAAACAAAAGGTTAAAAACAATCAAATAATCTGGTATTTAAAAAAAACCAAAAAAAAAACCATCTGCTTAAAACTTTCTGCAAAGTTATTCACCAATGATAGGCTCATCCAGATTCAGGTAATCCAGGTACTCTATAATATCCTTAAACTCCGGTACGTGTCTTCTGACAGACAGTCCTGGGAAGCCACATGCTAATAGTTAGCAAAAAGACAACAAAAACTACACAGTGTTTTTAAAAGTCATCATCACAGTATAACAATAAGACAAGAGCAATACTAACTGCTTCAATTTAAACTCCTTATTAGAGGATGAGTCTTTATTAAGGGTTAACAGGGGTATGGGAAGATTATAAGTGAATATAAGACAAGGCCTGGTGTATTGTAGCTCCAGATGAATGGTATAAAATCTTCAGCTTAGATCTTAACTATCTTAGATTTCTGATATATTATCATCTAATGTATGAGTCCCAGTAGAGCTTGTAGTCCAGACATTTTATTTATTTCATGTTGCTTTTTGAATGTCATCAGACAAGGAAAAAAAATGTTTCCATGATTTTCTGAAACATGGACCTTGTGTGGCATAATGGATTTAATGGCAAAAAACATCTGAACTCTAATGGTACCTATATTACCAACTAAGAAATGTTGTTGTTGGGGTTTTTTTTGTTGTTTTTTTTACAATATCCCAATATTATTGTATTAAAAATATCCCAATAATGGTGTAAATGTCTAATTTACTTGTGCAAAAGCATATTATTATCGAAGTGCATACTTATACAACATGTTCCTTTATAAAAGACAGTTACACCAAACTCTGGACAGATCTGCAGAGATGTTTATTTGTGCCTTTCGTCATCTGAGTGTGGAGTATTAGTGCACCCACAGATGTCCTGCCGCTAGAATAACTGAATACATATGTATAGTTGCTAACTTTAGTCAGAGTGGATTTTGAGGGAGTCATACAGGCACAGGCTGGCCAGTGCCATCTAATTTTGTGCAAACAGCTTGTTTGACTGACATTTTAAGAAGTTGTGAAGATTTCCAACAAGCTGCAGCTGTTGCTTGAAGAGCAACACTGGAAAAGCTGCATTTTAGTAGCCATGTGTGGTTTAAGAGCAGTACAGTATTTTTTCTGATCTTGATACCACAATGCTACACATTTATTTCAGCAGCTTATCATGTAACACCATAATTAAATCACAAAAAGACCAACCAAACCAAATTTGGCAAAAAGTGCAAAGATCCAGAAAGGAAAAGAAAAACTAAATGAGCGGAGAATCCCAACAAATGCAGATGCTTCTACAAGTGCACTTCATGGTAAATAGCATCCAGTCACGCTCAGCGGCACGTATACAAACGCAGGCCCAGTTGGTTCTGTTTTTGAATCACGATGGCAAGTGCAAGACATCAAAGTGGCTTTGAAACAGGGTTCATTCTTGGAGCACGAGTGGCAGGAGCTTTAATCGCTTGAGGCACCAACACGCTCTGCGGCAGTGATCTAATGAGCATGGGTAGGACATCAAGTTTGATGCATGAAGGCTGTACGATAATACCTACTGACTCAAGGGCAACAACGTACAGCTGCAAAATCTTCATTGTTTGTTTCCTTGCTATATCCACCTTGTCACGGGTCCTGTAAACTGATGTAGACACACTGCAGCTGCCACAGCTAAGATACATTTTCCTCTGTGTTGGAAACAGGTGGTAGGGAATGTAACACTTCCATTTATTCAGTTTTTCCCCCACATATGCTGATGTCTCTCTTGCATTCCCATTGGCTGGGTAGTAGACACAGGTCATGGCTGACGTTTCACTGTGAGCTGTCCTAAACTTCTGACCCTGTCAGAAATTTTCCCCAGCCTCTGTTTTGGTAGAAAAGCTGTTAGAACAGCCAGCTTTGATCCTCTCTCGCTGTAAGATGTTGGATTACCGCTTTGGAGCCACAATCAAAGATGGCACCACTGCCATCCATACCCAGCTCCCCAAATATGGGATTTTGGGGGCAGATGCTGATACTTATTTTTCATCCTTCCATTCCTTTAAAAAAACCAAATAATTTTCCACTTATCCAATTCAAGGTGGTGGGGGATGTGGAGTCTATCCCAGGTGGCTTGGTGTGAGTGTGAGGCAAGGTAAACCCTGGACAGGTCATCAATCCGCAACAGGGTTAACATGGACAGACAGACGACCATTTACACCTATGGGCAATTTAGAATCACCAATTACTTTAACCCCAGTAACTGGATGTCTTTGGACTGTGGGAGGAAGCTTGAGTACCCGGAGAGAACTCCCGAAGACACAGGGAGAACATGTAAACTCCACAGAGAAAGGGTCCGGGTCAAACACTAGATTCAAATTATATGTGTATTGTGAATCTGTGAAAGGCCCATATCTGCCGATTTTAATCAGCCAACCAATCAGTCAATTCAAATCCTTTTGGGTCATTAAAGGAGTTTTATGGGTTCACCTATGGAAGAGTTTGGGAAAATTTGTTACATAGGTGTAACAATAGCTCCATATTGCAGTGGTTCTAACAGCAAAATATCCAGTTTAAACTCAGGAGACAAACATCCCGTTTGGCTTGCCTCGGGAAGGATATCCAGAGTTTAAAAAAAACTGCCAAATCATCTACCCACTGTGGGGACTCCTGGTGAATAAAAGAGCAGCTGAAAGTAGCTTTTTACACAGGTGTAATCATTTTCACCATTCCAACTATGGAAGGTTTCAAACTGGGTCCACGTGATGGAAATTTGATCATTAGATGGTTAGAGCGATGCTCTGACATACATTCACATCCCTCCAAGTTTTCTGTGACCCTGTGGACCCATCTACAGAGATGAGTCCACCAGGTAGAAGTCAAAAAAGTATGCCAAGACTTCTTCTCCGTAGCGTCTTCAGCTGTCCGAGTATAATCTTGTACTTACGGCTTTCAAGTTGGTAGTTTGCAGAGTTTACCACCAGCTCTGCAGACCATTGTTACATGATGTAGCTGTTTACTGTCAGCAGGGGGCTGACAGTAAACAACCAGTGCCCAGGCTTGCTTGGGCTGCTGTTGGTTGGTCCTTCAGGCACCCGCGGAGAGGCTTTTTTTTCTCCCGTTTATGTTAGACTCTGCTGCCGGTCCCTTTCCTATTCCAGGCAACTTTTCAACCAGTTAGCACTGGACTTGCATCGTCCACATTGAGCTATGTGCTGTTGGGGTTTTGGAGAACCGCACACAAGCGCATTTGCATAGGTTGCCTCTGCGTGGGCAAATACCTACTGTAATTCTCACATTAGACTGCACTTTTCACCACCACCAAAACCAAAAGATGGAGTATCTTTTGGAAGAAATGTATTAAATCCCCCAGTTGAAATCCAGACACTTGTTGAATATCCACTTCACTTCTTGGAGACTGTGTTTACCCACTGAGGTGATTACATACCTTCTGAGCCTTGTTTCCCATTTGCACTCACATCATTAATAGGAACTCTGAAGTCATGTAGTAGTTTTCCTGACACGTCACCCCTGTTGACATCTTACGTTTTCCTATAATTGTCTCTCATGTTCTTTACTTTCTGCTTGCATTTCTTCATTGCGTGACAGATGCCATGCACCGCTATGAGAGGATTCGTTTCAATACAATGTTCACGCTTCTGGTGCTGCATTCCTTTGTTTGACCAGTGTACAGTTATATCTGGAGCATTCACGGTACACCTTCATCACTCAAAGTTTCTCTTTCCCTGCTGGGAAAGTACCTACCCTAAAAGCCCTGTGAAGAACTGTGATGATTCCGAGTTCCAGGAGTGCGGATACAGAAAGATGGGGGTACGTCCAACAGTCAGCAAACCTAAGAAAAAGTTCTTATAGTCCTATAGGACCAAATACCAAGGTGCTCTGAAGATGGTCTGGCCCAATGCCATAATGAAAAACTTGTCTGAATATCAACTTGGAAACATCGGAGCCATGTGACCATTTTAAAGTCCACATTTGTTGGAGCAGAAAGCTGAGTCGATGTGAATCCAGTTCCTCATACAGACTTCCATTTCATTTTCAAAAATAAACATGAAATCACTGCACTGTGCGAACTAAAAAGTATAAATCTCTTAAATAAACTTAAAATTTCTAACTCTCCATACCCAAATTAAGAAAACAAAATGGCTGAACACACACTGGCAGAAAAAAAGCCACAACAGCATCAGTGAGATCACACACTGATGTTCAAAAACAAGTCCTGACTTGCAGCCGATGTTAACCAATTTGATCACTGATGTTAGGTTTGGGGCTTTGTGTCAGTGGTCCAGGTATAACCTGAGATGCATCTAAGGAGCCTAAGCCAAACCACTAAAGAAAAAACAATAAAATCTGGACAAACTATTTGTCCTTATACGTTGACTTCTGGGTATCTTTATACATTTACTTCTAAACAAAACTGCTGCCCATTCAAACCGGAATGGGCACTATTCACATGTACATTGAATTACCCATCAGAACAGACACATGGCCAGGGAAGGAACGAAAAAATAAAAAAATAATAAAAGAGGGAAGATGAATTCTACTTACCAGAAGTTACTAAGCCACTCTCTTTCTGCCAGGAACGAAAGGAGAACAATAAAAATAAAGTCAATCAGTGCTGGATAAACAACACTGGATGTAGTTCACCTCTGCTACAAACAGAAAAGGAGTTATTTTATGGAATCAAACGCATATTAAAACCAAAACCACAGCTCAAATGAGGTGCAGTAAAGGTGCCTGTCCACACATGTCTTCTTAGTGTGCGTTAGATCATAAAGAGATAAAGCAGTTAAGGAGTAAGGAGTTTGTACTCCAGTCACTTTTCACACAACTGTATAAATTAAACCCCCACCGCGGGAGGTGGGAGTTATATCTGCATGTGAATATATTAATGCAAAGAAACAGGATGTAGCTTTCTTCAGGATGACCAAAGGTTCTATTGAAACATCTGGAGGGATCCTTCTAGGAACTGTTTATAGGAATGAAATGCGCCAGCACACTGCTGGGGCTAAACCAAGGTCCAAATAAAACTTTACCATTACAAAAAGCTTCAGTATGGATGTCAAACTGAAGCTGTACTGGTCTGCAGAGTAGCCTCCTTGCGCTTGTTGTTGTCGTCGTTGTTGTTGTTGGTGGTAGCGCTGCTAGGAAAGTACAAATGTATACCTACGTATACATTTTTCTGGCTCATAGAAAATAAAACCAGTTTTAAGTAGTTCTGCGACTCTGCAGAACGCCAAACCAGCACCATCCAAGAATTAGCAGCTGATTTGCCATAGTGGTTAGAAGACAGCCAAAAGACAGGAACTCAGTTCAAGCAACTTCTGCTTATGTGCTACAGAGATTCTGTACTTGGCAATAAGGTCTGCCAAAACATAGCTACCCAAATAACCAAACAGTGGTTGACTTCCTCTAGTGTAAAGACAGGAAGAGAAGGGCACCAGTTTAGTTCAGCGGGATGAGCAGGCGACCATATGCCATATGGCCAGAGAGCAGTAGGCCCGGGTTTGAGTCCCACCCGCGGCCCTTTGCTGCATGTCTTCCCCTATCTCGCTCTCTCCCCGCTATCCTGTCTCTCGACACTGTCACTATCAACAAAAGAAGAGAAAGTAAGACGCTGATGAAATGTTGCCATGGCTCCACAGTCCACTGTTTTTGTTTTGTATTTTTTAATTCAGTTTGTCTTCCAGGCTTGACTGTACAACAAGTCACTTGTTAAATCAGCACGTGTGTCTTGGAAGGCACACTTCCCAACATAATGAACAAGAACAACCAAGAAAGCTTACATGACTTTACCTAGTGGAATAGACCCGAACCTGGCTCAAAGGCACAGCAGACAAGTTCCTGAAATTTTCTTGGGCATTAACAGGAAGAAGTTTAAAGACATATGAAGCTGACACATCATACATGACATGGTTCAAGACCATTTCCTTTGTGAAACTCCACTGTGTCAGCATAGTCTGTGACCACTATTAAAAAGAAAAACAAGTTTGTTTTCCTCCTTTAAAACAAAAACAAAAGTCCATTATTGGCGCCAAGTTCAGGATGCATTGATGTGAAGGGGCCACTAAAAAAGACAGATGGTGGTAGGGGCCTGGTTTTAGTAGAACATCTGCATCTGGGGAGGTGAGCAAAGTGTTGAGAAGAAATGTCTGGCTTTTCTTTGCAGAAATCCTTAAACCCCTTCACCCAAAGAACCAACCAAGCCTGCCTTTTTCAAGACTTGCCATTTTCAGGTTGTCAGTTGCTCGCTCCAAGAGTAATTGTAGTTGTTTCCCAGACTGAAGGAGAAGAAGAATGCTGTGTGAAATACACAGCCAGGCAGGCTTACACACTCTGTTATACATCATCGAACTAAATATTACCCTGTCATCCTTGCACAAACTTACTGCAATGGCGAGAGACACAGTACTCTTCTGAAATGGCCAATCCAGCTTCTTCATTGAAGTCAAACACAAAGGTGGAAAGCATTCAGCTTTCCTGGTTGATTCTGTAGCTCAAAACTCACTGAACCCTTGACGGCGATGGCTGAAGAGAGGCAAACCATGTCACCTTTTGTTGTCACTACTCTTGTACTTACTGTAACACGATTTTCTTTTCTTTTTTTTAAATCTTCAGAAGAAACAATGTATTTGATTGTCAAGCCTGAAATAAGAAGAGCTGTCAGATGCAAAACCAGGAATTAAACCAGGAGGGGAAAACTGTAGGTGGGCTTCAAACCAAAAAAAATAAATTAAAAGATGTGAGCATCTTGGAAAACTTGTTTCTCGCAGAACTCTGGTACCTGTGGAGATCTGAGACTAAAGAGAAAGTACATGGAATAATGCAAAAACGATGATGGCATCACTTTTTAACACATTTTAAATGACTGCATTACTATTAATGTTTAGCATTCTACACAAGTAGATTTCTTGAGTACCTTTATATGTCCTGGGGTGGTCAGGTGTATCTTGTACAGGGTATCACCCCTTAAGGATTTTTCACAGATCTTGATTGAGAAAGAGCAAAAAACAGATGAATTAATAACAATAAGCTGACAGACACAAATAGACACACTAAATTAAGCCTTATTCTGTATTTTAGTTACAAAAGGTAACTTAACTCTAAACTATATGACCATTTTTAACCCTTAAACACTGTTCATTTTATATGCTTTCATAGTATAGTCTGTGTCAAAATTGAACTGGGCCAAGAATTCCTTCACATCAAGTGTATAAAACAAATTCTAATATACATATATCTTTATAAAGTATAAATAGTCTATCTGACATTAATAAAATGATGAATAGTCCTTAATTGATGTTTCAGAGAACAGGGTGAGTGTTTTTTAGATTTTACAACACTCATTTTTGGAGAAAAACATTAGATATCAAAAAAATATGATGACCTATTTTACCTAAGGTGAAAATGTAGCACTTGTAATGTTTAAAAGATATTATAATGAGATGGAAAGAATGTTACAACCATTAAAACACTCAACTCTTCATTCTGGATCATATAAAAATCTTATGACTACCATATATCAATACAAATTTAATAAACACTTAGAGCAGGTACTTAGCATGTGTGGTACACATTTTAGCTTTTCGTGTACAACTGGGATTTTTGGAGACCTGCAATGTAAATATGTCTGTCTTAAAAGCACCTTGAGTTAACTTCTGTTTAAATGTGCTATTGGCTATAAATAAAACAGATTTTATGGTTAACACAAAAAGGTTCAGACATTTTTCATAGTGCATGTGTTCATGATTTTACAAGATTCATTTGGCTACTTACTGAACTTAGAAGAGAAACAAATAGCGCACTAGTATCTGGTATATCAATACCAGCGTTGTTATCGATACTACAGATATTTGGATCGATTCGCCCACATCTACAACAAAGGCAATTTTCGTGACTGAACGAAGGTTCCTCTGCCGCCTTTGTCCCGTAAAAAATACGCACAACTTGGTATGTACAGTTTTAGTTTCAGGGTTGCCTAAAATCAACGTTTCTTTGATTTTCCCCACAGTGATGGATCCAAAATCCTTCTGAGCCAGATCCATTCAAATTTTAATTTTATTTTTGGCTTACTTCATGAAAAGTCATGACATTTTCAAGCTAAAAGAATAACACGCTGAATCACAGCAGTCAAACGTAAAAAATGATGGAATTTGACCCGAACAGTATGCAATGGTTAAAAAGAGCAGGACCAATTCAAGTCCGATGTCATAGACCTCCAGAGGCTAGCTAAAAACGTTAGCTTCGCTCGCGGAACGCTTCCTTTTTTCCGGGAACCTCGCTTTCACCATTTTATTACATGTCTCTCAGCTAACGTTAGCATGCTTACCTCGCATTCAATAAACGCGATATCCTCCTCCTCATATGGCGTTTCGAAGTTATCCATCATGAACTTTAATCAGTGGCCGTACCCTCTAGAGGTAAAGCTACCTGCTTAGCGACTGTTTACTAGCTAAATCGCCTGAACCAAGCTAGTTAACTGTTGTGATCAGATGGTAGCAAGCGTTATTGTTGTAACACTAGCGAATTGGCGTGTTTTGCTTCTTTTGTTTTTTATATTAAATACTGTGTATCGTATCCAACAAATGTTTACACAGCTATTGTATTATTACGAAACTAGCTTCGTCTTCCTGGTTGATGGGCGGACGCTCGCTCTAAGTAACCCACGTGACCGGGGCTGTCGCCACAGCCGCGGAGTAAAAAAGGAACTCCCCCTGGTGTTCACATATTTAGTTGCACTCAATAGCACATACTGCAGATAAGACGATAAAACATTTGTGCACTTTGTTTATTTGGTTCTAAGCATTTGCTTCATATTTACAAAAACAGCTTGTTTTTTTCCTTTTCCTTTTAAGTCTGGCTTTGGAAACCGGGGCACTTCTCAAGCTGTGTGAGGCATCTGCACAGCATTCAGGAGACTTCCAAGATAAAACTATGGAGTGATACAGTAAACAAGACAACAAAACCCATTATCTCACCCTTTCAGTACTGTGGATATCTGACATAGCTCATTAATTTGAATGAACAACATTTTCTTCACCATGTTGACACGATTACAAACCAAAAGCACTTATGACAAGGAGCAGGTACAACTCCATATTTACATGCAAACTACAATATGTACAGTGACCAATGATTTACATTCTCCTTTCACAAACAGTAAATCATAAATACACACTTGGGTTTGCTTTAAGGAACATGGCTTCCTACTCAGTTTCAGACATTTGAGGTTATTATTACAAACAAACAAGGATCTATAACCCATAACTTAAGACAGTTAAAGGGAACGCAATGCCAGCAGAATACTGCAAATTAAAATGAGTGATCACACTAGAGCAATGTACTCTGATGCATTATCTTAATCAGTATAAATAAAAAAAATATCACACCAGATTCATCCATACAACTGGAAAGCTGGAAAGTTAGGCAGCTGGGGCCAAAGCACAACAGGCCTGTATCGGGATGATTTAAAATTTTCTAAATGATAATAAGATGTTTATGTTCAAATAACCCACGTGGATAAATAATTGGCTGTAGACAGAATGAGAACCACAGATTACTGCACAGAGACACAAAGATACACCCCAAAGTCAGGAACAGAGAACTATGGCAAGGTCACAGATCAAATATTAAACAGGCGTCTGATCAGATGCGTCAGTAGCACGGGAGGTGAAGTCAGTTCGAAGAGTTGTAGAGTCCTTCTGGGAGATTGTTCAGACGTGATCGCAGTTCCTTTCGAACCTGGGTGACCCTCGCCAGTTTGCGTTTGTATTCCTGAAAAAGTCCACAATGACAGACAGCCATCAGACGCCAAAGATCCTGCAGTCTGAATCACACCGATTTATGGTGTTGGGTTTTTTCCCCCCCTAGTCTCAGAAGCAGTATTACATGAGATAAACACACACATATTGTAATTTTAAATTATAATTTAATATAAGAAACTGAAGTGTTGAATGTGCACTTCATAGATTACAGACCAACAGAAGCTTAAAGCTCCAGTTAAAGTTTAGATTTAAATTCAAGGATTTCCAATAAACATGTTTCATCTATTTTAATTAGTGGCCACCACTAAACAGGGTGCTTTAGTTTTATCCAAACACCCAAATCATTCAGCAAAAATGCCACTCTCTTTCTCTCTATGTTTATGAATGACTTTGATAGATTTAGATCAACCTCCACTGTAATGAGCCACACTAAAGGGCACCAAAAAACATTTACCTTTGCAACAGATTTTTTTGTCCCCTAATAAAAGACTGACCACACAAACTGCATGCAAAGAACAGTGTAAGGGACTGAAAACAGGACTGCATGTGGACAAAATGATTTCACCTGATCCATGTATTTGATGTTTTTTCCCACCTTAATCTTGTCACATTTTACTTTCTGTGCCATGTTTCTCAAATGTGTTCAGTGAATATATCTGCCAGCCAATGCATGCAGTGTGTGTAGATCATCAGTACTTTTTCAGCATAGATAACAGATAAATGTCCAAATGAGGGAAGGGGAGAGGAAAAGAAAACAAACAAACAAACAATGTTCTCTTTGTGTCCCATCATGTTGCAAATGACATAAATCTCTTCAGTAAGCATGAAGCAAAAGTACCGAGAAAGATAAATGAACAAGATTTTAATCAAATTTGAATCTCATTAATTTATGTTTATTAATCATGACAATGATTGTGATAAATATCTGATCTACATCTCCCACTAATCAGAAAATCTTAAAGTGTATAACTGCCATTTACTGTCAACTCCACAACCAAAAGTAAGTTTCATAAACCACCTTAAAACCTGAATATTCGTAAGAGGGTAAACTGTAGGTGTTCGAGCACAAAAAAAGACTCACAAAATCATTTTCACTTTTTATTTTCAGACTTTTTTTTTTCTTTTTTTAAAACAAAAAGTATTGACTGAGTGACGATACAAAGATGAGACGTGGGATCCTTGTGGCGCCCTGTAGATAAGATCTGAACAATTACCGTCAACGTGAAAAGCACAGCTTTGAGCAAACAAGAAAACTCAGTGGTTACATTTTTAAAGCTCTAACGGGTTCATTTTGATTACTACTTACCTCATAGGCAGGACACACTGAGTGAAGTGAGCAGAAAGAAAAAGGCTCAAAGAGAAAGCCAGTGACAAGGGAAAAGCTAACTTAGACGTTAAGTCTGTATCTAATCGAGAGGCTTCCCCTCAGTTTGCACATCAGCAGGGCTAACACATGCAGGGTAGTTTAAAAGAAAAAAAAGAAAAAAAAAGCATGACAGAAAACGTGCAGCATGCTGAGAAACTTGTAATACTTCTAGAAATTTGTGCTCAAATGTAATTTGTCCACACAGCACAAAAAGATGAACACCAAGGAGAGGTGAGGCAGACAGGACGCACACAGACGTATAACAGAGAAAAACTTATTCACGCACTTCAAGTTTCTGCTCATTCTGGGCCAGGCCGTCCTTCTGGCTCTGCAGGAAGACCGTTAGTGTGCGCGTGAGCTGCCTCCTGTCGTCAATCTCTGCCGCCAAGCGGCCGCTGTAGTCTGCTAGCAGCATGCAGGCTTCCTCCACCAGCCGGGAAAGTCGCTCTCCTGATTCTTTATCTAAAGCACAGAAAGAGCAGAGAACAAAGCCTAAATACACGTCACTCAGTTATGCATCAATCCTGTAACAATGTAAACAGCATCTGTATAATCAGTGCCAAATCAAACCTTCAATTTGTTTCTGCTGAGGTAATGGCAAGGGCACTGTCGGACAGATACGAGGGAGACTCAAACACACAAACAATCATGTATCATTTAATCAAATCTGCAGATGAATACTGAGTACTGTGTGGTACACATTCATGTAAATGATCTCTCTTTGTCATAAGGTCAATATCTTTCAGAGCCATCCCCTCTCTCCCATAAAGAGCATTATTTTGTGCACACCTTATTTCCTCTGAAATACAGTCATGACAAAACTAAATACACCTCATGATTCAAAAGTTTATATCAACAAAGATGATATTAGAATAGTTTTCAGGTTATTCCAATGGTAGCTGCAGAGACAGAGTCCACAATCACTAACTTCCGATGCACACCCGGTCATTTTGTTGTGTAAGTTGGTCTGAAGTATGACAGAAATCACTCAGTTCAGAAAAGAGCCTCAAAGCTTACTCCTAAGAGGCTTTCAATGGATAAAGAGTAAAGTAATCATTTCTTTTAAGACTTCATCAGTCTCTCATTTTGTCTGGAGGTATATTGGCCCAATAGTCTTTACGTTGTTGTTTTAGTTCATTAAGACTTGAGGCAATTGTTTATACACAGCTCTGTGAGGGTCCCACCGCAGCAGTTCAGTCAGGTTCATGTCTGGACTTCGGACTGCAACACCTTGAACCTTATTCAGCCTCTCCGTTTTAAAATTTGCTGCAGTGTTTGAAATCATCATCCTCTTGCATGATCCGATTTTAGACAGGCTTTAGCTGGTGGACAGTTAGAGTGCACAGCTAAGCAAGCCAAATCTTTAACTGCCTGATAATAATATAGTGAGAACTGCTAGATTGTCTCCCAGCAGAAAAAGGGAATGGCAACTTCAAACAGGAAATGGCCTTAATTCCCAGATTGCTGGCCAGGAACATTTGCTTAGAACAACTGTTCTAAGATCATTGTTGATGTTTTTCCTCCTTTCCTTTTGCTTTTATAGAGGTCCTCACGCTTGCTAATGATCAGTTAATTCCTGTGGAAGCACTAAGAGTATACTTAATTTTTCACAGGAATCTAGATGTTAAGTGTTTTCTGTAATGTGCAGTATATCAGAGTGGTTCAACAACATTTTCTCAGTCTAAACAACACAGGTTCTGTCTAAAGTTTGGTATAAAGTGTGCAGAGCTTCCTTACCTGTGATCCTGTGAAGCAGTGACGTGTCCTGCACCTCAGCAGGAAGGGAGGAGATGCGCTGACGCAGCACTGAGTCGCCAGAAGCAGCGTTCTCCAGCTCCTGCAGAGCTCGGATTAACTCTGCCGTCTGAGGTATAGCGAGCATGATAAAGGCAAGAGGTGAGGGGGGAGCAGAAGAAGGTGTTTACACTCAGGAGGAGAGACACAAAGGCAAACATGAAAACACAGACAGCTGTAAATCATTATCAACTAGCATGTGTGTGGATCAAAGTGTTATATGATTAGCACTCTGTATTTATAACTGCTCTGTATAACAAGGACAGCACCTGTGGGGGCTCGGTTGGAGAGCTCTGGGATGCAAAGCCTTCATCATCTGGCTGGATCTCCTCATATGACCTCTTCTTTGTCTTCTTCTCTCCATCTAAGATTTATAAAAAGATAGAAAAAGGCGCAAAACATAACAATTCAAAGTCCAGTTTGAAGGTGTGCGTTTTATGTATTAAACATCTTTAGCCACTTTAAAGCCACAAGCCTGATTAGCTGCATGTTTAGAAATGAAGCAAACATTTGCGAAATAGTGCAAGTAAATAATATAACTATGCTTATCCAGTTTAAACCTCTAGGCACACAGCACACTTGCTACAATTGAATGGTAAGCGCTACTGACGAGCCGGTACAGGTTTTGGCTTGTTGAACTTACACAGGACTTGCGAGAGCTGATCGAGCAGGTTATTCTCATACACGGCTCTCTCCTGCCAGATGGATAAAACCCGACCCAGCTGTTTCTTACAGCCCTCCTCACCATCTCTGCACGGGAACACACAGGAAAGACAAGAAAGAAAGAAAAAAAAGAACACACGCTTTAAACAGCTTTGCAAACCTGAAGTCAGGACTGGACAAAATTGAAGAAGAAGAAAAAAAATCAGTTCTTGGATAGAAATTCTTTAAATGGGAATATTAGGGATGCACCTCATTTACCACCACAGGCCAACTGTCCACTTCTGTCACATTTTTTTTAATGGAAATAAGTTCAAAGATGGAGAGCTGATGGCCAAAATGTCATTTTAAACATTGTAATCAGCTCATAATATATCAGTGTGTGCATCCCTAGAACATACAGTATGTGTGTGTTTATACACGTCTTCTCATCAAGCCTACTTATGGCTGCCACCCTTAACCAGTTCTAAAATGTTACTTAAATTTCTTACATTCATTTAAAATCCAAAATGATGACAAAATAAGAAAGTTGACATCAGGACAACCATCTATGCCTTTGTCCAATAAAATCTGACCTGTACACATGTTTGAATGCATCAACGATGACTGGAGCAAAGTCCTGGGTGAACTCTGGTCCTTTCCTCTTGCTGTTTTGGATGACGTCATTGGCCAAATACAGGAAGGTCAGCTTGCGCGATACCTGAGCTGCACATGTTTGAAAAAACAAAGAAACACACATAGTATGTGATTATGATTTACAAAAAGGTACAACACAACAATGCCTATTAATGGGCAAGTGCATTTTAACCACTAAAGAACTAAAAAAAAACCCAAATCAACAAAAATCATGACATACAAAAAATGAAATAGAGCTGATTTAAATCTTCAACAGAATATAGTATTTTATTATTGTATATAGTATTTTATTTTATTCTATTCTGTACAGTTGTGTACAGTATCTTATTCTATTCCAGTGTTCTCTAATTTTTGCTATATAACTTTGCACTGTCCACTTTCTGCTGTAACAAAACAAATTTTCCACATGTGGGACAAATAAAGGTCATCTTATCTTTAATATGCAAAGCCACGTTTAAAGAATTCAAGATACTCGTTATGCATCACTATAAGCAGGGCTACGACCTTTGCTAATTTAATATGAGCAGTGCACCAGATGCACAGGCGAACTGTGCAGTCATATCAGCTGCATGATGCAGAACAAGGTGGCCCTGCAGAAAGAATAATTAAAAATAAAAAATAAAAAAGATTTAATCTGTGGATATTATTTCACAAGTTTAGTGCACGATATGAAGAAACAATCTGACAAAAATGTATGTTCAGATTTGTATGCCCCAGGATTTTGAAGGCATCAAAGAGATCAAAAACAAAAGCTGATTCTTCTTACTATTTTTAACAATAGAGCACTGGCTCTTGCCTGACTTTGTTCTGGAGAAGCCGAGTGCCCGATTGAGTTCCAGTGAAGGACACTTACACCCCACCCCCCCACCCCTCGGTTTGTTGTTTTTATTATAAACTAACTGGTGCATAAGCCTTTGTTGTTGTTGGACGAGACACAGTCAACACTGAGGTGAGTGTAAAGCTCCGTGGAGAGCCATTTCTATCCCCACTTGCCATTAACACTGGTCTCAGTCACCACCCAAAATACCTCACCCACAAGAGGTATCATTAGGTTGTTGACTAGCACCCCGAGGAAAAATGCACCATTATTAGCTACAATTACAGCAATGCCTGATGTCCCTACAACCCAACTCACTGAATAAATTCAACTCCTCCATTATGTACCGTCTACTTAATAAACTTTGTGAACATTTTTTTTACAAAAGAAATCATTGACCGTCATCAGATACTATGAAAATCAGAAAAAAGCTAGATCCACCAGTCATTGCTTATATTTGTCACACAACAATGTTCAATAGTGTCTTTCTCCAGTGAAATGATTGACACAGCTAAATGAGCCAAAAAAAGCAATTCAATTAACGAATAAATATGCACTTACTCTTAAAACTGTTACATATTTTTAATTAAAACAATGTCATGTGGTTCGTTTAACATTTACTTATTATGCTTCTCCGTATATAATATATGCACCTTTGCAATTGTGTATTTTTTAAATATTATTATTTAGGGCTTTTAACTTTTATTAGATAGTGCAGTGATGATTAGAGAGGAAAGTGGGGAGAGTGAGTGCGTCTTGTATCTCCACCCACGTGCTAGTCAAACCTTTTGTTTGTGCGGAGTAGCCTATCAGAAGAAAGCTGGCTTAAAGCAAAGCTATACTGTATATGAATTGCGGTGCTTTATCAAGGGTTAGTATAGGATTATTTTGATGGGTTAATAATGCAAAGCTACTGTAGCAGAGCAAAGAAATGAGCATAAGTGGCTTCCTTTATGTTTTATAGTAAAGCTCATTGTAACTGTTGATGTGGGTTTAATTTAAAGCTATTCCCTCAGGTGTTATAAAGTTTAATTTAGTGCAGCTCTAACTGATCGAGACTTACTATAAGCAAAGAGGGGTCGACTTCTTAAGCCTTTATGGAGGAGATTTTCTAACACAAACACAGTTAAGGGAACACATTGCCAAGTTGTCGTCACTTTTCGACAATGCTAGTTAGACAAAGCAGTGCAAACCTTTGGCTAGTGACCGAAAGTTGCCAGCCTTTAGCAGCCACCGTGCTAACAGCGACTCGGTGTTTTAACTTTAAGAGCAGTTTGGTCTGGCAGCTTTAGCCAGAGCTAGCCTGCAGCTACATGTTACTCACTCTCTGAAGCATGCTCGCTGTGTTTGTTTAGAGGAACTCCGGCGGCTCTCACCAGCCTTACCTTTTTTCAGTTCGTTGAACCAAACGTTGACAATGGTCTTCGAGTGTTTTCTGTGGTGGATGAGCCACAGCGACAGTGTCTGTACACTTTGCTGAGAGTTGCTAAGCTCGGACAGTTTCTTCTCTAAAGCCGCCTCGGAGAAAGCTGACATCTCGGCGAGATTAGGGGAGGGAGTGCGAGGCTAGACGCTGGGAGAGGCTGCTGTAAGGTTTCTCCCAAATGTGTGGACTACAGCACGCTAGCCGGTCACAGGGTGTTTGCAAGAGTTTCAGCCATCCAAACTAAATGTCGCAACCGGACTCTGCTACACAAAAGGATGGCTGGTAATACTGACTAGCTATCTCCGTCCTCTCTGTGACTGCTCGGTTGCCTGTGCTTGGGACTGCTTCTTCCTCCTTATCTTAATGGCAGCTGGGGATAAAACTTTTGGTTACCTTAGCGCCACCTTCCGGACTGGAGTGCGGGTCTCATTGGTTATTATGGTAACCAACGTTAATATGCTTAAAATCTGAAGTTAAATACAAAAAATCTGTAATATTCATCTACCATTAAATGGTAATTCATTTTTCTGAAATGCCAATTTAAATATCAATCTCTATTGTTAATATATTGGACATCAGAAACATGTAATTCCACAAATTTCTTTACTATCCAGACTGATGAGTATTGCATATATTTATACAGTCTAAGATTCATGATGTCCTCCTCCTCTCAACTTTTACTTCTGCCTCTTATTCCTCCTACATTTCTTAGGAGGCCACTGCAGTGATATCAACCTGTGTTTATTTTCTTCGTGACCACTTCTGTTGTACAGTCATTCTTGCAGCCTCACAGTTTGACTTCTATTCCTGCCCTTGCATTTATGAATTTTGAGCTGTCAGTCATATGCACATATTTTAAAGTTGAGTACATGATATTGTGTTGTTCCTGTTCCAATCTATTGCCCAAAGTTTACATGCATGTGCATAAACATTTATATAATGTATTTTTTAATGTATTCACTGTTCATAATAAATATTCTGTGCATATAGAAATTACAGTTACTATCTAGCACTACCTGGATTTACTGGAAGTGTGATTCACATTCATAGATAGCTCACACTTATAGTCCTGTGAAAAAGAAAGTTTTCACAGTTGATCTGCATTAATCGCTGAGTGGACAAAGTTTGTGTTTCCTCGCTGAATTTGAGCAGGCTTGTGAGTATTACACCACATGACATTACATAACCTACCGTGACTGCTTGAAAGGAAAAATGACAAACTCTTTTGTTTGAACCTGCAAGGAAAACGATATTTGGTCACATATTTGGTAAAAGTTCAAACTCTACTGGTGCAAAAAAAAAACAAAAAAAACAGCCGCACGGGTCAGAACTGTTTTTTTTTTTTTTAAATTTCATAAAAGCAGTCAAACATATCTCAGTATTTCTCCTAAAAAATACAGTGAATCCACTTAAACCTAATGTGATGTTTCACACATTTGTCTTGTTTTCTGGAGTTAAAAAGGCATAAATGTAGATAAACTGCTGTAGCGGTCAAAAACAGAAAACAAATAGCAGGTTTGAACAACTTCATAAGAAACACAATAAAAGAATAAAAATATACACACAGGCAGCTGTTTAGTGTTTGCGGAGCACATTTCTCAGCCTTCACTGAATGTGAACTTGGAAATACACGAGTGAGTTCTATTTAAATTCTATTTAAATGCCCAGTATCTTCAATTCTTCTACTTCTCTTATAAAGAGTGGATTAGTGGATAAGGAGTGCTGTTTCACCTCATTGGCGCTCTTTGACTTTCAGTCTCCACAAAGTTTAAACCTAAAAGTCCCAGCAGACAAAAAAAATACCGACACTGCTTATATTACTGCACCTCCATCAGCAGGTTCCCATTCATTACAGAAATCAGCAGAACTATAATTTAAAAAAGAAAAAAAGTCACATTGCAAGTAAATCCCCCACTGGACCATCGAAATGTGATTTGATTCAGCTGAAATACGGATCAGTGTGGGACGCAGCACACTGAGGTTTATAAGGTTGGCTGAAGGCATAAGAGTGTGTTAGACTCCAGTCCGTACCACTGCTGCAGACCGGAGGGAGAAAGTGCTGGCCAGGGTTCGCCAGAGGGCCAGTGTTGTAGCTGGGGTAAGACATCCACCCATGCTGTCCTTGGCTGGCTTCATAAGCTGTAGTCGGTATCCCATAATTGTGTGAAGCTGCCTGGGCACAGTCATTGGTGAGCGCTGTGTACTGTGCAATGCTGCCGCTGTACACACAGGGATCTACTGAGTGAGTTAGCATGTTCACACCAGCACTATTTATATAAGGACCCAGATGACCCCACACATCGTGATACCCACTTACACTGCCTGTCTGAAGACTTGCATTATCGCACGGCATGTGCGGTTTCTGAAAGTGTTGTTGGTAATAATGTGGACCAGCGTCTATGCTGAGGTCTTTGTATGTCTCTTCTCTCAAACCCTGCTCTCTTGTTCCATTCTTATCCTCTGCAGCTGGCTTATACCCCTGCTCAGTCCAACACTCCCCATGTCCGTAGGAAGAGTTAGAGGAAGATGGCACAGCAGGAAACACTGCTTCATTATGCATCTCTTCATTTTCCCACTTTTTATAAGATATCTCGGCTGACTTTTCTTGGTCGCCATGATGCCCGTTCTCCCTTCTTTTCCAGTAAACATAGTCGTTTCTCCCTGTTATGTCTTCAGACTGTCTGGCGTGCACGCCGTCAAGGACATAACCATCTCTGTTTTGAAAATGGGGGATTGTAAAGTTTCCTTCTGGCGTGTACCCACCAGTCTCTGGACCTCCATCACAGGGGTTGTGCTGTAGTGGAGAGGTTTCTGCATGGTTGAATTCAGATGACATACTATCACAGTCTAACTCCACAATCTCTGACCCCGGGGAAGATGTGAGATCTAAATTAAAGGGAGGTGATGTAGCTGATGGAGGGAGGCTTTTGCTGCTGAAAGACATCCTCTTCATCAGTAATATACCTTTGGTAATAGGCAGGCTGACATTAAAAACAGTCTTCCTCTTTGCTTTTACTCTTTTCTTCCTCTTTGACTTCATTAAAGCGCATTTCTCTGACATGCCTTCAGCGGATGTCTGGTTCGTGCTCAGCCCTTAGCCATAAAGAAAAGGAATAAGTTAAAAGCAGTTTGCTAAGAAAGTGTGAACTCTAGCTTGCAAAGATACAAACCTTTGGCATCTATTTCCTTTTTTTTAATGTCAGCACCTTTCCATCCAGATTGCAGCATCTTTATGCCTGGAAAATATCCAAAACAATACAGTGGCATACAAAAAAAAATAAAGAAATGCAAGGAACACTGGGTGAAAAAAAAAAATGTATTCAAGTGGGTATTAATGAATACAAGCAAATCTAGAGAGCTGACATCAATAACAAGTGGGAAACAGCACTGAACAAAGGACACACTCTGCATGGTGAGTGCCAAAGATGCACTGACAAAATGTGATTCAGGCAAAATTCAGACGGCATAAAAGTTAAACTTCTCTGTAAAAATCCAGTTATAGCATAACTGTACACATAAGTATACAGTTGTATATATATATATA